GAAACGAGAGATCTTGCTATGCTCCGCGCGCAACTTCTTCCACCCTTTCCTCCGCTTTCGTTTAAAACTTCTTTTTCTCGTTGTAACTTTTTAATCCGTAATTACGAGTTACCGATTTCTCGACGAGGTCCTTCCTTTTCCCACTCGTTTCCGGCTTGAACTACCAAACGAACCAGCGATATAGGAAACTCGTTACTCCGAATGTCTAAACGAAAGATTACCGTCGAACGAAGATTTCCACGTTTCCGCACACGCGTTCTCGCGTAGCTTCCGAGTCTATTAATTGCAAGAAGAACCCCATGTGGCGTACCTAACAACGAGAAGCGCAAACGTGGAAATTGGCCAGAATTACGACGCTCGATGAACTCTAGCCAGGCACGTTCCATCCGTTTACGCGTGTTATAAGTTCTTCAATTCGATTCAATTCAATTCGATTCAATTCGATTCGATGGAATAAACATTGCAAACTCGTCCTCAGTCTCGAACAAGTTTGCCAAATATTCCCTGCGAACATTTTTCACTCGATCGGACGACGGTTCGGGGAACGTTTGACAACTTTCGCAACGGGTTGGGTGGTCGGCAGGTTTTCCTACTCGTTTTCCGTTCGTAAACCATGGAAAGCCGACGAAAACGGACGTGACTCCTTTTTCTTCTTTTACGAATACCGGAACGTAAAGTTTGAGCGAACCAACGTTGGAGGAGATTAATGATCAACGTTACTCGACGATACGGGCCAATTTTTCTGCGATGAATCTTTCTTCTTTTTAACGCAGGAAAAAAACCGAGTAGCTCTCATTGATAAGAACAGCTGATCGCGATTCGACGTTGAAACGTTCGTTAGACAACACGGGTAATTAGCAAGATGAAAGTTATCGTTCGTGAAACGAATCGAACGTTTTGGAAGAAACGGGGAAATTTTAGCTCGCACGGGGAATTAAGCGAGCCGTGAACGATTAATTCAAAAGCGAAGTAGCGAGAATCCGAGATGGTAATTTTACTACTTCCTTCCCCTTGTTTCTCGTAGCCGGTGATACTCGCGGATAACAAGAGCTGCGAGCGCAACGAGACGTCTAACATTCGTCCCGGAATCGTTGACGCGAAACTTTGCGACTGTGGAAAATTCTAAACGCGATTGTGCACGGCTTTTCTGCTACCGCGACTCCTTCGAAGATCGATCGAGCACCGAAACGAACGGCAGCGTTACTTTTTGTTCGCCCAGAGGCGACGAAACGGAGAGAGAAACGGGGAAATTTCAACGAGCGATGATAATCGTGTTTCGAACTTTTCGTGACAAAGGGCTGCTGAAACGAAACGACTACTTACCTGACTTACCTGAATTACCTTGTAATTTTCTCCACTCGTTAATATTGGTTAACATTCATTTATTATTAGTTATCAAAGATAAAAGTAGACTTTGACTATTTCTCGCTCGATGGGATATTCATGGAAAAAATTGTACCGACAATGTTTTGTTTCGCGCTCCGCGATCGATCGCGGAGCGCGAAACAGAACGCGTCCTGAAAATCTACACGCGAATCACATCGGTTGCCTGTGCGTGTCACGAATCGCGCTCATCATAAACGGCTGTCAGTCGACGGCCGACGATTTTCAAATGCAAATGTGTTTCGCTCGGCGAACGGACTCGTGTCAGCCTCGCGTTCGACCGGTCCTTCCTGACGGACAGTCGGCACAGTTCTAAACTCGATAACCCCTGCCGCTAAATCCAACCAATTAGAATGGATTCGGTGGTAATAATTCGGGTGACACAAATTACCGTCGCCGCTAGGCTAAGGCCGCCTCCACCCACACCCTCCTCCCTCTACCTCCAGTTTCTCTTCGCTTCTCTTCGCGTGCTCGCCACCCCTTTACGCGCGCCTCTTCCTTTCTCCTCCAATTAACCACCAATTAATCGATCGATCGCGATCGTGCTCCGGGAAGTACCGCAGAGATACGAGAAAAGGAAACGTGTTTCAACGAATGAGGTATGACATCCGGCATTCGGTGTTACGCGGAACAACAGAAATACCGTATTACGCATCGCGGGAAATTAGTCATTCCCGATCGCGTAATTTCCTGGAGAGTTGAAATCGTAGAAAGAAGTTAGAAGTACGAGCAGGCCCGAAACGAAGAGGCTGAACGAAAGTTTTACGAAACGGAACTGTTCGAAATTGGAATTACCGTGACGCGCGAAACTCCCGCTACTGCTGCGTCAGTAGAACTCGACAAAAGTTTAATTTTAAAGTGGACGTCGGGGCGAAACGATATCGACGAGAGTAACACCGAAAAGCGTCCAGGAACGTTTCAACTTTATCGTGTACGCGTTATCGTCGATATCGAGAGTAATCCATGATAGCGATTATTTAAGTGCTCTATCGCTCGAGATTACCGGGAAAAGCGAGGAAAGGTCGATTCTTATTGGCGAACAAGGACAAGCTGAACGTGCTCCATGTGTTTTACGTTGGTTAGTTTGGTATATACGCAAAGCGGGAATAAAGGCAAACGGTTGTCGGTCGAAGCCGTAAAACGAAAGACACCGTTCCTTACGCCTTACGGCTTTAGCCTTACAGGCTGCATGCACACCTACGACCAACGGCCGGCGACCCCGCTCGCTCTTTGTCCTCGCGACTTCTCTTTGCCTGCTGCTCTCCTCTCTCTCTCTCTCTCTCTCTCACCCTTTCGTTCCTTCCTTCTAACCATCCTCCCGCATCCTCCTCTCTCTCTACATCTTTATTGTTCACCATGCCACCAAGCTACCGCTCTTTTCTTCGCCGATCACGTTGCTCCTCCTAATTTATTTCCTTCCCCCTTTCACCGCCACCAACGAGATTCTCCTTCAAAAATCTATTCTCCGTAGGTAGAGGAGGCGCGGTGTAATCACGGCAGCAAGAATCAGATCGCTTTTCCGCGAACAAAGAAATCCACGGTAAGGTAATCCGGACTACCGGAAGTTAAAATCGGGTTACGCGCAAATTCCTTTCCTATTTACATTGCTAAATCATTCTCCCTCTTTCTCTCTGTATCTCTTTATCTCCGTTCCCTCTTTTCCCTTTTCTCATTCAACGACTGGATTTCGCAACGAGAGCATCGACGCACCAAAGCCAAAGTAAAAGCTTTTTTTTTGTCCTCCTATCGAATCTCGCGAACCTCTGATCTTTGTTTAACATTTCGAACATCGCGTTCATTTTCCTCGCGACCTCCTGCGAGCATTAGGCTAAATTACCTTTTCTCTCGGAAAATAAACAGCATACGCCGTCAGAAAGTATAATCCCGGTCACTATACCCTCATTCCGACGTTTTTCGTCTTTCATTTGAAGAAACGATTTCGTTCAATGCTTGGCAAAGATGAAGCGAGCTTGCGGAGAATCGACATCTAAAGACGACTTTTTCATTGTGTAATCTCGACCCGGTTAAACGAATCTGTACGGTGAGAACAAAAAAAGGAAGCTACGGTCTTAGAAAAGGCTCCCGTTTTATACAGATCCAGTCGGAAGAAACAAAACTGGGTAGGAACAATTATGCTCCGTAAATGGAAAACTCTGACGATCGCGGTCGGTCGAATTTTCCAAATTGAAATCGAAGGGAAAGAATTAGAGGGACAGGAAACGTTCGCTGCTAGTTTCTTTTCGAAGGGTTTCCGATTCCTCCAGTCGGTCTTTGCCGCTTGACATTTTGCATAATCCAGATCGACTTGTTTACGTTCGTTCACCGACCAACGTCTCCGAGAATCTCGAGCAGCGAGGATAAAACAACGGTAGAATGAAAAGAGAAGCCATAGAGTATGTACGTGGCGCGCGACGACGCTGCTGTTACTGCAGTTAAAGCTGCATTCTTTCGTGAGAAGGAAAAGAAGAGAAACGGGCGAGTGAGAAGGTGTGTAAAGGAGAAGGGAGCGGATAAACGTTAGGGAGAGGGGATAGGGAAAAATCCGAGGAATGTACCAAGAGAGCACTTCGAAATCGGCTGGCAGTGGTTTAAGATTACGCCGAGTAAGGTTCCTCGAAGGCCTCTCGAATCTCCTCCACTCGAATCCTTGTGCAGTAGACTCGACAAAATGGAACGCGACCCTGATTGACTCGATGCAACCTACGTTCAAACGAATTAACGCTAATAAAAGAAAAAAAAAAAGAAGAAAATAAGCCAACGTTCCCGTTACCGTCGACCCGACGAGACAGTTCAATCTGCCCTATACTTTTCGCCTAGCTATACCTTCGACTCTTCGAGAGAAAACGTTATACTAGAGCGTAGACCGGCTGAGAAATTTCAGATAATAAGAAACGCCGGAAGTTACGAATACGCGAGGTAACCATGCGTTCGAAGATTCCCACGAGTAACAGCGCACCTTCCTAGAAAAATATCGTCCCGTGTAAATCTTCCTTTCGTTGCTTTTCTTAAGATACGTATTTCGCATCACGATACCTCGTGCTATCCGATATCACCTAGCAAGAAAAACAGAACCAGGTTACTCCGGTTTTGTATCGAGAAAGTAGAAAGAGGACGGGCATAAACCGACGCCACTGTCCTCACCGCATACACGGTATACGCCATAGGCTGTCGTATGCGTCGTACGCTGTAAGTATTATTTTTTCCTATCCTAACAACGAACGTCGTCATCGTTGTTGCCGCGTGTTTCAATAAACCATAAACATCTTATCCATCGCTTGCATCGAACGAACACGTTTCTTACGGAACGTAAAGCACAGCTCGAAAAACGATGGCGATCGACGAGACCTCTTACGAGCGGCTACAAATGCGGCCCCTAAGGCCCCACTTCTCCCCACCATTTCTGCGCGTCTGGTCGATGCGCATAAGGCGCATACCGATACTGCGCATGCGCATCACCACAAAACGTTATAAATACATGCAACGCTATCCTCTTGTACACGCTATACACACGCACGTGTGTGCATAATATCTATGATACTCAACAAGTACGTGCGCGCGGATGCGCGTAGAAAAGGTATCGCGAGATAGTAACGAATAAAAGATTATGTTCCCCTCACCGAGAATTCCACACAGGAACAGAAACGACAATAAAAGACGTTGGGGCCTCGCCCAGGCCCGTACGATATGCCTATCGTTTAGCAGTCGCGACATCTTTCTCTTCGTTCGTTGCTCCTTTCCTTTGTTTTTCCGATCCGACGACGACGACGACGACGATCCGTTCGTGGAACAGACCACACCGTCCTTTGTTTTCTGCCCTTCCCCTCGATGTTTGCCGATGCAAATTCTTTTCCTTGTAGTATTGCCGATCACCAAACAGTCAACGTTCACTAAAGTCCATCACCAGTGCACGCGGTTCTCATGGTTCCCCTATGCTCCTCGTTTTCCGAAGAAACAAAACACACGTTACACCAGTGCACTCGAAACAAGCCGGGTCGACGGCTAAACGTTAAACTGATCACGTCACGCGCGAATGCTACTCTAAAGCCAACGCCGTACAAACGCGCCTACCCGACTGAACGACGAGGACGCGTGATTCCCTCTCGGTACCTTGCTCGCTGGCTTACTCGATGCCTGCCTGCCTGCCTGCCTGCCAGCCTGCTGCTTTCCTGCCCGTTTGCTTGCCTGCCCGCCTGCCCCGAATACACTCGCCTTTCCTCGCTTCCTCTCTTGCCCAAGCTGAACTCTCCCCTCTGCCTTCTAACTCCCTTCCCGCCGCGCAAACTTCAACCCCCTCAACACCGCGCCGCCACCCAACCTCGATCCTCTTCGCTTCCCAAGCCCCGCGCTGCCAATCCCGTCGCCGGCATACAAACAGAACCTATCCCCACCGTTTGCTAACTACTTGTTGATCTTCTCGCAGGGCCGAATCATCTATTCGTAGAACCTTGCACTTATACATCCCTTTCCCATTTTTTTTTATATCTTGTTGTCTTTGCAAGCAATTCTACTCGAACTTACTAATATCGCGTTAATAACGATAGAGAAACGATCGACTCGATGAAATCGAAGCTTACTCGAAAACGATTCCTCTTCATTGATTTCCACGAATACGAATCGATCCGACATTGTAACAGAGAATATTTTTCGTACTGTGAAACGTTCACCATTCGTTCACTCGGATCGTACAATTTGCTATCGTATCCAGTGCACGTTTATACCTGAGAAATTACCGTAATTATAGCGGTTTCCTAGCGAATTAGTATCTTCCTTACCCCTTTCGTTCTTCTTTCTATTCTATTTTCTTTTTCTTTTTTGCCATTTTAATTTGCCCTCGCAGGCCAACGCTCTCCGAGAAAGTACGATCTCGCACGTCTTCCGGATCATCGCGTTTGTTCGATGAATCGAAACGAGCGAGAACGATCAATCGATTAACTCGCATTGTTCTTTCAACCAGAGGATTCTTACTTAAAGTGAGAAATAAGAATGTTTTGTCGGTCACGACCAATCACCGATGCAATTTATTTCAGATTTGTGCTTTATTAGCAGTGTCTATCGTTCGAGCTTTCCCGCAATTAATTCAACTGGGAATTCGTGTAATTTAAATTCAAGCTCGTTAAAGTAGCAGCGGAGGCTAAGAAAGCTCGCTTCGCTTCGTTCTACCAAACCAGTGAAAAGGGGAAAAAATATCGATTCGATGCTTTTCAATCCATCTACCTGTTGCCATAACGTTTAATAAAAGTTATACGCTTTGCCAAACAGATTATAGGGTTTAGAGAACGCGTCACGCGTAGAACGTATGAAAAGGAAAAAGAAAGCGAGCGTAATTCTTATCGATCTTAATTCACTATTTTCGAAGAGAAGGCGAACCTTCAACATTCCATTTCTTCCGGTGTATTCTCGACAGAAATTCACCTCTTCTGGCCGAGAAACTTAGCCACGTCACCGTAGTAGATTGCAGTGTGGGGATACTACGTCGCGTGAATCATTATCGTTCGATACTAGCTGTTCCAGTCTTCGAAGATTTTCTTTTTTCACGTATGTACCTATAAGCGACAACAGTCTGCCGTTCGGGAGATGAACGAGTTCTCCTCTTTTCTTTGTAGTTGTCGCGCGAAACAAAAGTCGATTGTCATCTCTGTTGAACCGAGAGGGTCCGTCGGCTACCATTATGCCCGTTCGAAGGAAATAATTCCAAGGAAACGTTAAGAGCATCGCAAAGGTGGCCGATAATGGGCCACACCTTTTTACAGCGACAAGGAAAAACGGTGTAAACTAAGAATCCATCGATTGCTGCTACGCAGTTATATTAAATGCAAATAACTGGAGCGACACTGACCGCTAGACGTTAAATAAATTACGTAAGTGATTCGATTTGCGTAAAAGTAGGCGACGGCGATGGCATTGCATCTTGCGTTTCGCTTAATTGTCGCCCCGTTTCTCGCGCAAAGCAGCTCGTCGAAAGGAAAAGGTCGCTTTAGAATTCAATCTCCGTCGACCGCGGTCGAAACTATCGAACGTTCGCTTAATTTTCCTGGGAAACTGTAGCCGTTTCGAACCGAATGGCATCGCATCGCATCGAATCGCGAAAACGTTTAGTTTATCAGCAATTTCGATCGTTTTCCGCTTAATCGGCTCGCGCTCGACGCGATGCTGGCTCTGTCGAACCGAAAGCCCATTATCGTTCGTATTCCCAAAAGACCGAACGTTCTCTTTCTCGCTTTCTCCAAATGATATTTTCCCGCGGACTATCGTCGAACCAGCTTCGACCAGGACGCGCGAACGAGTTTGCTCTGCGCGAGTAAACAACTTTCAGCGATCGAATAGCCGAAAGGAATCAAAGGAAGGATCGGGCTAATCGGACATTGCCGGCCTGTCACCCTGAAACGCTGGAATCTGTAATTAGAATTCGTGTCTCTAATTGCTCCCTTTTCCAAAGCTTTTTATTCCCAGCCAGGTTCGGTCGACGCACCAACCAATTGCTACTCTGCCACCTAATTTTCCCTTTGTCTTCCAACGACTTTGACTTTCATTAGTTGCAGAAAAATTGGAATATATGTTGAACAGTCGCGATGCTGAATTACCTTTACCTTTTTAATTCTATAAAACTTCTTTGATATAATGCCAATTCCTATTTATTTGTAAATCGCCAGTGTTTCCTCCGTGCTGATATTATTTATCGAATTTCTATCGTATTGATGTAGTTAATTAAATTGCGAGCATTTCATTAACGAAATGATAGAATTAATGTACGAGGATTGCAATTATCTCGGATGAAGGGGAGCGGAGAGAGTGGAAGGTAATCTGTAGCGAGTGATAGAAATGCTGCTATCAAATGTAACTAAAAGGTAAAAATTTAGTCGTTGACTAACTTTCTATAAGAGAATCTTGTAAAAATGAAATGCGTTAAAAATATTTCTCTGGTCTGTGTTATAAGCACTATGTTATAAGGAGAAATAACTTTTACGTAGGATTTAAGGTAGAGTAACAATTGAAAAATATGCGAGTAACTTGTGCGAAAGTATGATCGACATCCATGTAAATACTTTTATTTCGTTGGACGTAAGATGTATGGAAAAACGCAGAAATGAAACATCGGAGATAACGTGGTCAAACTGTCTGGCTCACCTATGGATTTTGTATTGATCCCATTCGACGTTTTTCAATGAAAATGCTGTACACTTCCTTTTCCTGTCACCTTTTATCATAACTTTTCTGATATCCGTCTATTCGAGTTACTAGCTTGATAGCACTGCGAAAGCAAAACTTTTTCAGTTTTTCTGACTATCTTTCCATCGTTTACATTTCTGTAATAATTTCCTTTTCTGTAATTAATTTTTCGAATGAATTGTATGAAATAAGAACGTTATCAAATTGTACAGCAAAATTGAAATAGCGACATTTCTCAGTCTGAACAAATAGAAGCTCAGACATAGATGCGGGATAGTAATTATTAAGAATTTTCGCCGGCATACAATTTATAGGTTTTTTAATTAGGACACATTTTTGAAATGTAGGCACTGGAACCATCTATCGGTGTTTTCCAACATTCATTTTCGATGATCAGTGATTATAGATCCAACAAGACTGGACACGCCTTAGTTACCGAGGGTTAATGGTTCCTGGGGTACCAGACACCCCAAGCCGAAGTTATTTCTGCATGCACAAAACAGCAGTCGGTAATAGTGTAACTGGAAAGCGTGAGCCTAGGTGCGACTGGGTTTCTTCGTTCCTCTATTGGACAAGAGCGATCAATTGAAAAAGATGTTGCCAAAACATTAAATTATGACGATGTAATAGATGTGTTTACAAATGAAAAAGCGAGAAAAATTATTTTATAAAATATGCTGAACTATTTTATGTTTTTATTATATTATTTTAACATATACCTATGTTTTGTATTTCTTTTATTTTGTCATCAATGAATATGAATAAAAATTTGTTCTTATTTAGGTTATAGATTATTTATTCGTGCAAATACCTTGACAAATACATTATTGCATATACATACAGGGGCTAAACTTCCGAAAACCTCCATGATCCGAATTGGCTCCAATTTTGGAAATGGATTACTTTTTGATAAAGATGATGATTGCGAGAAGGATTTTTGGCGAGTCGAAAAAAAATTTTTTATCATTTTGATGTCCTTTCCTACTTTACCGGCATAGTATCTGCATCTACTGTTACCTACGCCTTCTACAAAGCCATCGTGACATAACGGGTGGACCTAAAAATGCAACTTATCTGATATCAATGATTCTGGCTTGTGTGTCTACTTCCCAACACTTTCCAATATGACAAGTTTGACCTAGAACAAGGCGCAACCTTCTCAGTCTTATAGCGACCGCCAAGGGGTGCGCATCAATCCATCAAACCTACATATACTTCTAATTTCCATTCGGAGTTTATTTAATGTACTTTATTTATTTTTTCCGCTTATTAACAAGCTAATCCGCCGCTATCCTGCATTCACTAATTCGCGATTTGTTTGTTTATCTAGGTCTTATATTTCGTTAAATCCGGTCGTATTTATCACTATCCTGAATTCCCTGTTTCACGATTTGTTCGTTTTAAGGTCTTATATTTTGCTATTCGTATTTATATTTCACTTGTCGGTATTACCTACCGTCGGTATAATTGTCGCGTACTTTATCGGCGTCAACAATTGCTGATTCAATCCGCGCAATTTTTCCGCAATAGAAACACTTTCATTAATTAATATATATTAATTCTCTGAACTATGAAAGTCTATGGATCGCACGTTTTAGCTTCGGGGTCCCCGACACCCCGGACGTCATAATATAAGGTATACAAAGAGTGTCACCTGTGTCTCGGGGTCCCTAACACCCCAGGATGATAACATGTCGGTGTCCAAAGAGCATCACCGATGCTTCGGGGTCACTGATACCCCTGATGCCATAATGTCGGTATGCAGAGTGTCACCTGTGTCTCGGGGTCCCTAACACCCCAGGATGATAACATGTCGGTGTCCAAAGAGCATCCCTGATGCTTCGGGGTCCCTGACACCCCTGATGCCATATTGTCGGTATGCAAAGAGTATCACCGGTGCTTCGGGATCCCTAACACCCCAAGATCGTCTTTGCGCTTTATAATATAAGATTCGATTCTTCCTTATGAACCCCTCCTCACTTTTTCCACTTATTTATTATTTTATTCTTCCTTATGGACTAAAGTCCACCCTTCTCAGTTATTAATTATTTTATTCTCCTTTATGAGACAAATCCACGATTCCTAATTATTTATTATTTTATTTCTCTTTGTGGGCCTCGCGGAAACCACCCTTCCCAGTTATTGTTTATCCTATTCTTACTCTTTATGGACCGGGGCATCCGTTTGCAGTTATTTATTTTTCTCATTCTTTTCATGGACCTTGCAGGGACTACTCCCAAATCACTGTATCCTTGTATCCTTTGTATCTTTGCATCCCTTACATCACAGCAGTTCTTATATCCCGGCATTCCTTACCTCCCGACATCCCTTATATTCCTACACGTCTTGCATCCCTGCAACCCTTATAATGAATATATTATAAATATAATAATATATTCCAAGAACTGGTTCGAGTAAAGGTAAGTAAAGTCTCATACAAATTTAGTTCCTTTTATTACCGCCAGGGGGCGCTGATTCGACGCCGAAATTTTAGTTCAAATTTTTGCCGCTAGAGGGCCAAAATTTGTGCATGATTTAGTTCCTTTTTTTACCGCCAGAGAGCGCTGATTCGACGCTGAAATTATAGTACAAATTTTTGCCGCTAGAGGGCCAAAATTTGTGCATGATTTAGTTCCTTTTTTTACCGCCAGAGAGCGCTGATTCGACGCTGAAATTATAGTACAAATTTTTGCCGCTAGAGGGCCAAAATTTGTGCGTGATTTAGTTCCTTTTTTTACCGCCAGATGGCGCTGATTCGACGCCGAAATTTTAGTTCAATCTTTTGCCGCTAGAGGACAAAAATTTGTGCATGATTTAGTATCTTTTTTTACCACCAGAGGGCGCTGATTCAGCGCCGAAATTTTAGTTCAAACTTTTGCCGCTAGAGGGCCAAAATTTGTGCAAGGTTTAGTTCCTTTTTTTGCCACCAGAGGAGACTAAATTTATTCGTACTTTAGTTCCCTTTTCGCCACTAGAGGGCGCTGTTACTAACGCCGAAAGCGTCATTTCAAGGATGTAAGTGATAAAGGGATATAAGGCACAGCAGATTGTAGAGAATAGAGTGATTTGTGGGATGCAGTGATGTAAGGAATGCAGGGATCCAAGGAAAGCAGAGATGTGAGGAATACAAAGATGTTAGGGATGCTGGGATGTGAAGAAGGCAGGGATGTAACTGATGCTGAAATGTAAGGAATGTATGGGTGTAAGGGTGACGGAGATGTAAAGGATGCAAGGATATAAAGAAAGCGGAGATGTAAAGGATGCAGTGATGTAATGAATGCTGGGATGTAAATAATGCAGGTTTATAAGGGGTGCAGAGATGTAAAGGAATCAGGGATGTAAAGGATGCACACGGGAGTAATAAAATCAACACGTTCGTCTTTCTAATGAGTTTATTCAATAAGCTAAGAAGATAAATAGAGGGAATTAAATGAACGTAGAAAATAAAATATGGGTATATGTATGTTTGGCAGGTAGATCTGCATCCTTCGGCGGTCGGTATAAGACTGATGATGTTTCATTTCGCTGTATGTCAAACGATTGCTAACGGTGCCCCAGCCATCTATGGCCAGCTACCTTTGTTGGAATCAGTGGCTGTAAATATTTCTTTTTTTTAACGTGGGGAAGTTTGCATAAGACCCCCATCGACCACTGGGGAAGAGCGGCGGGCGAGTGTCAGATTCCTACTGACGAAAACCCACTGATACATCAGTGCTACAACCCTACGGCGACCAACACTGGCGATAAAGGAGGGCTCTGGTACGTTATGTATATTAGTCCGGAGACCTCCACGCCTGCTGTCACACTAGTGCCCACCTCGGATGCGTATCCGGGGGTCGCACCCGGTGCCGGCCTCTCCTCGAGCACGTGCATGGTGGTCTGAAGCCCCCATTCCAGACGCCCGTGGCCCAGGCACCTGGAAAGCAAAGTCATATCCACTTTTATTGGACCTGTAGTGACCTGTAGTTAGTAATAGGAAGCACAGCCGGATTAGGCTCAGTCACCGACGAGACTGTCTCGTCGGTGGCTCAGTAGATATTACGTTGGTATTGTAGAGCGTGAAGTCTGTGTCCCTCGTTTGGTAGAGCAGGAAGTGAACTTACCTTTTCAATTCCCTAGCTCGATGGTTGAGCAGCTCATCGCTAGGGGATGTTAGTAACACTATTTTCAAAGCGCGCATTAATATAAAATGAAGGCTTGCACGCAGTATTTAAAATTCGAAATTCTATTTTATATTAAGAAAATACGACAATAAAAGTGGTATCTGAATTCGATAACTCTTGGAATTTGATGCGCCTTCTAGGAATTGATTTAATTGCGATTGGAGGGTGTAGCGAGGATACAGTAATAATAACGCAGACATGATCGCATTTGTAACGCTGATTTCCCGTACTTACTATCTGATCAACCTCGATCATTTTGCCTGATGTAATTCTAAAGTACACAGTCCCCAACAAAAGCAGTGATACGGACCAAATTCTCGGCAATGTTGGTATTTCAAACCGAATAACAGGGATCTTCCATAAAATGATTGCTTTATTCCATACCTCGTCCGTAGAGAAACGCGTTTAAACAGTTGTTCGTTAGTTAAAAAAGCGAGTAGATGTCGCTCAAATGCGGGGACACTTATTTTCTATGAATTTCATGTTTTAGAACGCAACGCGATGGTGGTGGTGGTGGTGATGGTGGTGGTGGAGCGTAACTATAAGTTGCGTTATTATTGCTATTTGGTTGTACCATGACCTCCTTTTACATGGCGCATATGCAGCCGTACTAACCGAATGTGAAAACATCGTCTCGAAAATTAAATGGCAATGTTTTATTCACGACTGATCAGCCGATAGAGATTAAATGGATGATTCAATCCACAAAACATCAATTAATAATAAATCACTGTAAACCTTAACTACCCGAATATTATAAATCGGTGCAACATTTACAACGAGCATGGGGTTGTACGAATCTTTCCTTCCCATCGACATCGATTTAAAATTGAATCGCAAGATACTACAAGCGTAATACTCGTACGTTTTCCATTCCCCTTACATGTTCGTTCATCAATTATCAATCGAGCAGCTTCATCCCTTGAAATTCGACTTTATCGGAGAGTCTCCTATCATCCTGCAGCTTGCTTCCCTTGGAAACGCAAATACATCGGAGGCTCGTTGTTCCGCAGCACTCGACACGCGACTGAAACGGTGTTGCGGATACAGGCCGGCTTAAATTTTCGATGAAACGACGCGTAGGTGTATGAATTTAACGCTCACACCACGTACGACACCGTGTAAATGTGAATCGAACGGACATCGGGATGATTTTCACGTGATACATGTGTAAGGTTCGCGTATTTGGTGTGCGTATGGTTGGTCGCGTGGTTGTGCGTACCTCGGACACACGCGTATTCATGTGCAACGAATACGCGAATATGTTCGCTTAAATGTCGCGCGTGTGTGTGTGTGTGTGTCTGTTTCTCTCTCTCTCTTTCTCTCTCCGCGTTTATATACCGATCGTCTAGCAGCGGGTCGTCACGTGTACGTGTCAAAATCAATATTTGGCGTTACTAGGTTATGATAACACTGCACCGTGGCATCGATGCTTGTGTGTCTTAGGGGACAGACGAGTAGTAAAATTGGCGAGCGCACTTTCGTTATCGTTGCATTTCTCATTGTTTGCTATTCAGCGTGACAAACGCGTTTACCAACAAATTCCGTTATGCTATGCTAGTTGATCTTTGCGAGGGAAAACAGGAAAATGGGGAAAAAGACCTTTCCTCGTGGGTCTGTTAGCTAACTCGTCCGCGAGACTATCTAACAGGAAAAAGCTAACAATGGAAAAACAAACGGATCCGAAAGGGTTCGTATAAATTGCCGAGTAGCATAATTTAACGAGCAATGAATTTTAATCCGCGTGATTATCATCGCGATTCGTTGAAACCTAGCAACTTTCCAGCCGAATCGGACTCGTTCCTATATCAGCTCTACTTGGCATTCTATGTTTCCGGCGCGCTTTCGTTACCCCAAGAAGCGCGGCAGGAATGTTGTGCTTACTTAGCTCGTCGAGTAGATCTCCTCGTCCTCGGAGGAATACCGGTACAACAGGTGTACACCGCTCTACATAATGCATAGAGCAGATTTTCAGAAGCGTAAAGTGTAAACTCGAAAGAGTGAGTTTGCCCTCCACTCTGGTAAAACACAACTTCTTATCGTTGCCCTTCGAAAGTGGACTTTGTTTCGGCCTTGACGCGGTATTTTCCAACGGTTGCCGTTGCCACGAAACTTTGTCTTTACGGCTGTACGTTCGATGAATTTTGCAACTTTCAATATTACACCACCATCGAGACGTTTCGCGAACTGTCAGGAAAATCATAACAAGTTTTATAGGAAAAATCCTGTCAAGGATATTCCGTTCCAACATCGCCCGACGGGGACGAAAACGCGTGTATTTTTAACATAAATTAGCCTTATGCATTTGTAATTAATTGCATTTCCGATTAGTTCGTGCTTTCCGGCATTACGACAAGTTTGTCTGCTTACCTCGGCTATGGCTCTTAGTTTCTCCGCCTCTCCTCGTCCTTTTCTCTTCGTTTTATTATTAATTCGCGAGGTTTCTGAACGTCAGTGTTCCACGGTAAATATAAATAACATAGAAATACCATTGTCTTCGAGCATGAAATATTTAGGAGGTCGCATGGTCGGGTAGGCTTACTCGAAAAGAGCGCACAGAAACATCCTGCGTTTTGAATGTCGATTTAATAAAGAAAACGATGAGAATGATAATTTCCTGTAACCACGGAATCGTCGCGTCCCTATAGCGTTTTACTTCTTGGCTAAAACATCGGGAAATAACCTTCTTCGACGTTTGGCCAGGCTCATTAGCCGTCGTAGTCGCGGATTAATTACCATTTTACCGAAACAAAGCTGGTTTTTTTCTATGAACGCCGTTGCCAGGACTTGGTACGGTTTGCGTTTAATCCCGAGGGACGAGCACTTTTAATTACTCGATCCGGGGAAAAACGAGAAGAAAAACAGATTTATCGTCCTTAATATACTAGTTTTATTCGTTTATCCTTTCATGCTTTTAACGAGTACACGTCAGTCTGTTTGTCATGTTCGTTGCTTGTTTCTCTTTCCTACCTTCTCTCCTTCTCTCTCCCTTTATCCGTATTCCATTTCTCCTTCTCTTTCTCTCTTTTGCACTCTCCTCGGACCGGGTAACTGCCTCTCTGTTCACGTTGCAGAGACAATTCCACTTGGACAATTTTCCACGCATGGGCTGCCACGTTTTTTCGCGGCGTCCACGCCTATTTTCCGCCGACCGATTCGGGATTTCGTTCTCGTTCGCGAAACATTTCCGCAGACGAGCGACGTCGAACCGATACGCAAAGTAAATTACGCTGGACGATCATCGATCAGATTGTTATCGTTGTGTCTTGAAACGTTTCAAACCATCGCTGCAACAAAGTTGAAGAGAACGCGCCTTTTACAATCGAAATGCGTACACGTAGGCAACGATCGACGCTCTTTAGAAAATCGTGTGAAAATTAACCGGGTATCAGCTAACGGGCACCAAATATTTAACCGAGTTTTAGTAGAAGCGGACTTACGTAGTCGGACCGTACGCTTAGCATGAATTATTGAAGATGCGATCCCTTAATTTCAATTTGGTTGGACGTGTTATTACTAAAATATTAATGGTATTCAGTAGAATCCCCTTTTTGTTAATAATAATTAAATTCAAGGTTCCGGTCATATACTCTGCTAATACTGTAAGCGTAATTCATAAGTATGAATTAGCAGAACGATCTGTTGCCTATTTTTGAAATACTCTAAAGTTTGTCTAATTCATTGAATTCGTTGGAAGTAAAATTATTTACAGCAGCACCCATAGTACCGTTTTTAAAACAATGATAAACAATTAATTCTCATCCACGAACCATATCGAATGGTTACAGATTTCGTTGTTAATAAATACTCTTTTGCCTACAATGTTGGTGGATAAAAAAAGGAGATGAGAATTGGTCACGCTGACGTGCATATAACGTATTTTTACGCGTCTCGGAGGCAGTACGGTTTAATTAAATGAAAGGTGTTCCAGTACGATGCACGTTGCGCGCTTTGACACCGGTCGATTTTACGTTCGCGAAAAACGAGGGGAAACTGGCGAACCTCTTCGTAAATCGTGGTCTATTTAATTAGCTGTTCTCGCGGAGCGCGCCAAATATTTTGTTTTATCGTTGCGGCCATGTGTGGCTATATATTTCGATTATGACGCGGAACGGACGCGGGGAATGGTGTTTTGACAGTAACTTGAATAGCATGGAAACGAACCGTGCCGCGAGCCGATTCGAGCGTAACACCCCAACCGCAGCTTTCCAGATTTCAATCCTTGAGTAACTATAACACCATCGAGTATAGTCTCCTCTCTATGGAAGCTCCGTGAACTTCCAAACAACTTTTTCGTTCGTGTCGCGACGATCTTCGAGGCAAGAAGCACGAGGTTTTTGGATATTATTTTAATTATTTCATTGAATTCAATTTGGGACGCGAATGAACGCGTGTGAAGATAGAAAGTAGCGAATCAAAGTTAAGGTTGTCAGGAAGTTATCGCGTTGAAAGGCAAACCCATGGATGGGACAGAGGGACAGAGAGAGAGAGAGCGTGGGTGGTCGGGATGGAGCGGAAAGGAGCAAAGCGTGTCACAGAGAGAGGCGCGTAGACGCTAGCACGGTATCTATCGCATCTTCCATCGCAACAGATGCCTGTTGCTACGCGGCCCGGCCGATGGTGCCACGTTTTTGGCCCTCTCTTCCCGAGCCCGCGCCCTTTACCTTCCTCCCTCAAGGTTTCTTCTTCCTCTTCGGGAAACGCTTTTCGCCCTTTTCACCACGCGATCGGACATTGACCCTTCGCCAGCGTA